TAAGCATAAATGCTTAGTGAGTTCCCCAAAATACAACTTACACACATATGCCTTTCCACGCCCCGACCTTCCGGTCCATGTGTCTTAGGGGACTTCCATCCCGACTAGGTAAATCTTCCGGTCCTACCCACATCAACCTTTTGGTCCACATCAGAACGCCTTCCAGCCCATAACATATTCACCTTCCGGCCCATAACATAATGCCTTCCGGCCCATATCAAGCATATCATACATAGCACATATAAACGATTAACTTATCACACACAGTACATGTATCTCAAAACATACCCGACCTTCTGGTCACACAGTCAAACCCTTCCGGGTATAGTATAGTGAGAAAACTCACCTTGTGGAAAGTCTAAGATCACGCGTCCTCGCTATCACCGAATCCCAACGACGACTCTACCTCGCCTAAACATAAAAATATCATTTAATACTCAAAGACTTCCACCACTAAAACTTTACCCCTTATCATCATTTCTCAGAGGGTAAAAGACCATTTTACCCTTCCTTGACCTAATGTCCTCATGTTGACCAAAACCCTAAAAGTCAATAAAAGTCAACCTTGAGAGTACGCGGGGTGTACTGCTAGATGTACGCGGGGCGTACATCGCCAATCTCCTGGATCGGCGTCTCCCCCCAATACGCTGCGCATACTGGAAGTTACACCCAACGTAACCATCAGAATCCAACACTCATCATTTCTGGTCTTCATCGATTAAGCCATTACTCCAACTTCTAGATCCGACTCTTTTAGTGTGTCTAAACCCATAAAGTCGAGACCTTTAAGTCTTGGCATGGCTGTAAAGGCTCCAACATCACATAACAACATTCTATTCCAACTCAAGGACCTAGATCTCATGCATGGTGCAATATCCACGTCCAATATGCCATTTTTATGAGTCTACAACTCCAATAGATCAGAAATATGAAGTATCTAAGCTTATGGAGGCCATTTGCACAAAAAGTCTCCGCCTTTGGGACTTAAACCCTAGAAAATGATACCTTAAGCATATAACATGAACCAAGTGACAAGATCCGAACTTTTTACCTGATAATGAAGCTTTAACCCTTGCAAAGCTCATATCTACACTTGAGCACCACTTCTAGCCTTTCTAATGAGCTCTTGTTCTCCTTTGCAACCTTGGAATGGCACCACCAAGCTTAGAATATACACCAAATGGCTTAAGAACGAAGACACACACTATTTAGGGTTTCACTCTGAGGGATGGTGGCTGAGAAGTCCAGCCACACATTCCTTTTATAGCCCTCCAAAGGAATTAGGGTTTTTAGATCTGGGCAAGTTACGCCATGCGTAACCTTGGGTACGCCCAGCGTACCTGAGGGTGAACACGTCCAAATGAGGCGCACGAGTACGCACATCGTACACCTTTTACGCCCAACGTACTCGCTCACCATGAAAACCCTAAATTAACAACTTAACCAAGATGTAGGGCCAAAAGAAGAATACCTGGATTTCGGGTTGTTACAGTTAACTTGAACGTTCTCAAGGGGTACGATTGGACACTCGTCTAATAAACACATTTTGATGTTTGACACATGAAATTTGTGTCTTGTACTTAGTTCTTGTAGTAGCTCGAGTTTGTGTGCCACCGGACCCATACTTTCAGTAACGTCGAAGAGTCCTACGTAATGGGGAATCGTTTTACCCCCCCCCCCCCTTTTTTTTCAAAGTGCACAACTTCTTTTCATGGTCATACTTTTAATAGTACCTGGTTTCGTACTTAAGATTCCAAGGGTTTCCTATGCTCATCAACATAACTCTTCTAACAATCGCGATCGCCTTCCATCGTATCATGTATTATCATGATTTTATTGGTGGTCTCTTGAACTATATCAATCCTCCTTAATTTCCATCGTCAATTTCCAGCCAATAAAGTGGTGACCGACACTTAAGCCTAGGGCTGTAAACGAACCGAACGAACACAAATGAGGTTTCTTATTCATGTTCGTTCATTTAACAAATTATATTGTTCATGTCTGCTTGTTTATGTTTGTGAACAAGTTAAGCGAACAAAAATGAACAAAGATAAACGAACAAAGATAAAATAAACATAATTGAACATATATGAACATATATGAACATAAATGAACATATAATATAGTAATGTCTTCAAACGCGATTAAGCATGTATGAATACAAAACGAACTTATATGAACAAACATAAACGAAGTTAAATGAACAACATAAACGAACGTTCATGAACATAATTGAACGGCCGAGACCAGTATTCATATTCATTCATTTAACTAAATGAACGAGAATTTATGTTCGTGTTCGTTCATTTATTAAATAAACAAACATAAACGAACTTCCCGCCGAACGTTTTATGAATTGTTCGCTGAACGCTCAGTTTGTTTACAGCCCTACTTAAGCCCATACAGTGCTTCGTAGTGGAGCACATTTAAACTGGTGTGATTGTTTATATTATAATAAAATTTCACTAATCGTAAAAGGGCATTGCAACTACCTCTGAAACTGATCGTATGGACTCGAAGTATGTCTTCCAAAATGTGGATAGTTTGGTCGTTTTTCCATACTTTTGAGTACAGCAGGTAATACTTATGTTTAATCGTGTACCAAGGATTTCTCAAGTGACTACCTTATTTGTGGCGTAAGGCAACTATCTCTATCCAAAATAATGGAAATATGCACTCTAAAGAAGTAAATGGGAATGAGCCTTCTGTTAGAGTCAAAGTGTTGTAATAGTCGAAGTTTATATTTAGAGTCTTCGAATCTTTCTGTATTTTTATTTTACTAAGTTATAATATTCGAAGCATAATGTTTTAGTCCTTAGTATATTTTTTGTACGCTTTCCTCTCCTATAAATAGGAATAGTTACTAGTGTCTTAGTAACGAAGTCTTTACAGAACATTTATTGTACTCTGTAAACTTTGATAAAGTGTAATAGAGCCAAACGGATCATATTTACATCGGTGTTCAAATCTCGCATCCTTACTTTGAATTAACTCTATAATTCATTCTATATTTGATTCTTTGATTCATCAATTGGTATCAGAGCAGGAATTACATCTCTAATCTGATTTTTACTTTGTTAAAAAGGTTTTGAATAAACTTTTTGATTCAAAAGTTTCCGCACTTTTTGGAAGTGAAAAATTCTTTAGATCTAAGATTGTAATTAGATTCTGCACTAAATTCATTGAATCGAGAGTTCTAAGAATGATTGTGATCTGAGTCATACAGTTTGTTGTCAAATTCTCATAGTTTCTTCTAAGTATCTCAAGTATTTCTTCCGTACAAAAATGGCGTCCTTCAATCTGAATTCAATGACTTCATTTTCTCATCTTCTAGGATCTTCCACCAAAATTTCTATGCTCATCCCTGAGTATTACGATCAGTGGGATGATCGTATGCAGGATTATCTTAATGGATTGGATAAAGATATATGGAATTATATTTCTGGTAATCGCAATCCACCATCGAATGTTCAACCAATTGGTTCTTCCTCTGGAAACTCTGAAGTTGAAAATTAAGCTGATCGTCTGAAAAAGCTGGAGAAAAGATGTATGATAGAACTAAGAGGAGCTTTGCCTCCAGTTGTTTACAACTACGTGAGGAGTTGTAAAACTGAAAAAGAAATCTGGAACAATCTCAAGGAAAATTTTTAGGGAAGTGAGAAGATGAAGGTTAATTCTGTCAAACAATGCTTAGTTGAGCTGAAGGACTTCAGATAGAAAGATACTGAATCAGTTGAAGTATATTACTGTCACACCCCCAAACCAAGGATGGCGGAAACATCTAGGGTGGAGGACTTCATGTATAGTATCATAACCACAATTGCAATAGTAATTCAAGCAAACACAAACAACATATATATAATTGTAAGAGTTACATCATTGTATGAGTTACATGTTTCCAAATCAATTACAATATGTTAACAAAAACATGAAATGTTGACGCCTTAACGTCCCATCCTCAAAATGCACTTTGGTACATGTTTAGTGATTTCCTGAGAATACAAGTTGCTTGAAAAAGTGTCAACACAAATGTTGGTGAGTTCATAAGCTTTTGTTTTCAAACTTGATAAAAGTTTTTCTCATGTAAATGTCACGTTTGTTTCAGAAAAATCTGATATTTTCCTTAAAATTTGTGTAATGTAGTCTTATAACCGAAGACTAAAATGTATAAGTAACATCTCTTACTAATAGAAAATGATATGTGTTTAAATCAACATAAACGCATTTGAATTAAATGAAATTCCCGTAAATTCTTATGTTTGTGAATACTTTCTATGAGTTCATTATAACCATGCTATGACCTAGTTGTCCTGAAACGACGTTCTTCAGGCGTCGGAAATGTTTATGACATTTGTCACCCCAGACCTGCCGGTCTAACTGTTGCATGCAATTAAGGTGTGGGTTTGTCAAACCCAATATAGATCTATATACAACTATCATGCTCTCTCTCCAGGAGACTCTGGTTACAACACAGGACTAATGGCACTACTAGAAAAACAGCCTTTTACGTCACTCATTGCGCGTCGTAAAACTCTCAGACGACGCGCAAATGCGCGTCAAGGAAGGCCCTGTCATAAAGAGAGATGACGCGTATTTACGACGCGCATTTACGACGCGCATTTACGACGCTCATTTACGAAGCGCGATGCGTATCAAGGAAGGCCCTGTCGTAAAGGAAGACGACACGCATTTGCATGTCGTAACCTTACGACGCGCGTGTTTATGACACACATCGCGTATCAAGGAAGCCCCTGTCAAGAAAGGCCATGTCATAAATGAAGATGACACACATTTTTGCATATCGTAATTTTATATGTTTTAAAAAAAATATTTTTTCTAGATTTACTAATTTTTGAATTAAATTTTCATTTAATGTCTCTTAATAAATAAAATATCATATACAAAATTACAATTCATTGCACAAAATATAATGTCATACAAATAATCGTTCCATGGAAAGATAAACCAGATCAATAAAAGTTATAACGGAAATTTACAAACTAATTAGATACAAGAAATATGAAAAACTTGAAATCTCTAAGATTAATAATTCTAGCAGAAGCTTCACGTGAGATACATACAGTTGGACCAGTAAGCATGGATGTTCCAGAATCCACAATAGCAGCAGAAGAACATGTACACAATATCTTTTGCAAGAAGGTGCCTGTCCAAAACAACTGTTGAAGGTTGACATGATAGCTGTTAAGATTTAAGCATAACAAGAAACCAATCAGCGACTATAATAAGCTAGAAAACAAGCAACTAATAAATAAAATAAGCAACTAATTAAGTCAAACTATGACTATGTATTGTTCATACAAGAAAAATAAGGAAAAAAATGTTGATTTATTATTGTTCATACAACAATCTCCAGACAACACTTAATTGAAGAAAAGAATAAGGCTAAACTTACAAAGAAAAAGAAGTCAGGAAGAAGACAAGTTTGAAAGCAATCAAAATAACATTTAGCCAAGCAAGTGTGATCTACTAGTAAACTTGAAAACGCAAAATTCTGAGTAAATGACCTAAATACCCTCAAAATCGCTAATCATAATAACAAGTAACAGACCTTCTAGGAGGCAATGAAGAGCTCTGGCCAGATGGCATAAAATGATAAGCACCATCCATTGTGATATAAGGTGAAGCAGCCAAAAGCCCCACCAGCACCAGCCAAAATAGGTAGCCTACAACAAAATTTCACAATTTTAACCATTTAATCACCTAACTATTATTATCTTAAATATTTATTTACTTATATATATATATATATATATATATATATATATATATATATATATATATATATATATATATATATAAAGAACCATGTCATTTCTGAATTCCCCATTCCATTGGGCTGAGTAACGTAGCCAGGGAACGCCATGCCAACAGCAGGAACTCCAAGCCCACCAGGATGCTGCCCCGCAAATTACACACCTGCAAATTTAATAACAGATTAGACACCATAAAAATTTAACATTTTTTAATGACCAAATAGCCCTTGGGTTTACCTGGCAAAAATGTTGGAGCACTAGGGAAATTTTGATCACATGGATCCCAAAACATACATACACGATATGACAGATATGATAATATTAGATTAATAAAATATTTAAGAAAACGGAAGGGCAAATTTGTAAATTGTAATTGAACCTTCTCTATGGATTTAGCTTTGTTCTCGACTCCTAAAGTTTCAGTGGCAGTGCCTCTTGTTTGGCGCCATATATAAGCTTCATCTAGCGGCTACACAAGCCCTGTTTGTTTCATAACAACACACCATGCTTTTACCTAATATTTATTCTACTAAAGAAAAATAGATACAATGGTGAAGTGAAAGAGCACGTAGATAGAGACAGTTAATTAATTACCGGGTAACAAGCTGAAATGTTGAATGTTATCCACGAGAAGTCCCAAGACACCAAAACCACTGTCACATCGGTAGACCACATGATCAAAAGATTCTCCAAGAAAATAAACCGGCTTATTTGGGGACAAATTTTGATCAATCTTTACACTTTCCTCCACAATTTTAATCAACCCTTCATGCAAATATAGTGGTAAAATGGTCATTTACTCTCTCATTTGGTTCCTTGAAGTTTTAACATAATATAAATACAAGAGAAGATGATAACCATCAAATGGTGTTCGATCATGAGAAGGAATATGCAAGCATTGAACATGAAAAACCCTGTCATTGTATAAAATTTAAGCAAACATACTCCTATTAAAGATTCTATAAAACAAAATTTTATCAGAAAGAATGTTCAAAGAGAAGATGAAGATCAAATTCAAGTCACTTTCCAAGAGGTTTCTCAGGTACAACAAGGCCAGTTCCAGTTCCTTCCAACCGTACACAAAGTATCACATCCAATTAGTAAGTAAATATAAGCATATCTTGCAGGGGTAAAATGGTAATTTGTGTAATTTTATAACCAAACACAAATTACCATGCAAAATGATTGTTTTCTGTTCCAGAGACTAAATACCCCTATGGAAATTCCTGATTGTAGTCAAAGGCTAGGCAGGAGACAAATCTGCCATTGAATATAGATGCATGACAAAGTTTATAAACTATGTCAAACTAATTGAGTAGTCAACTTGCACTTCACATCTTTAGAAAAATCCATTGCCAATAATTTCTCCTTAACATCATCAGGTGTGGTCTCAACACTTGAAACACAAGAAAAATAAATAAATCCAATCAGCAAATTAATCCTTGCACAATCTTTTTAGAAACAAATATTATTAGTAAATCAAAGAGAAAAAATTACCATCATCGAAAACACTGGAATTCTTGTATTGACTAACATGCTTGGCCATCTTTTGCAATCAAACTGTTGTTGTTGGTTTGATTCCCTGAAAACAGAGAATTCAGGAATTCATGAAGCTTCAATTTCCAACTAAATATCTCAACAAAATTTATTAACATAACATACAAACAACATGCAGTCCATTTGTCAGCAAGAAGCTGGTTTCTGTCCATTTGATCCTTGCTCCCCGAGACTTTCTTATTCAGGTACTTATTTCAGAGTTTCATATCGATTTTGGTTCTCATTTCAAGGTTCCAAGGACCAAATTCGATATGGAACCTTGAAATAAGGACAAAAATTAAAAAAGTTTCAATTTTGGATCAAACACGATGAAAATCAAAAAACACAGGGACCATTTTCTAATTATTCTTAATCTGATGGAATTGATTCTGGCCATTTGGAACCACACACGCCATGGAATAGAATCTCGAATTCCAATTCAACCGGAATCCACAAACTAAACACATCCTAACTTGACTTGGAAAAAGCTTCAACATTCAATAAGGAAACCTAAAGAAAGTATATAAACAAACTTTAACAGCTGTAAGTCAGGTTATCTCATTTCCCATTCGATCTACAAGAACAGGAAGGCAAGCCAGTAATTCTGCTGTGAGATGATCACCAAATGGTTAAACAACAAGCCCCATGCAAGAGATAGCATATTCCTTAACCTCCTGGAGAAAGACAATTATGTTATCCCAAATTCCCAATACAGGTTCACAAACAAGTACTAACCTGGTCTTGATCTCAGTTTGTCAATCATGACAAGATGGCATTATATATTGGATGGACATAAGGTTTGAAATCAAAATTAGAAACCTAAACAAATCAATAAACCAATATCAGAGCAGAAAAATAGATAAATACAAGAAATTTTTGGAATAGATCATGAAATAGAAAGGGATAACACCTCAATGTTTTCTCGAACAAGTTCCCCGCATACTCTTAATGCCTCTGTAGTAACTTTGTAATGGCGTTCACCAACAACAGATAAAACAAGAGCAAAAATAGCCTACAAGAAGATGTCAACATAACAGTAATATTAAAATCTAGAAATCCTAAAGTAGAAACCAAAAAAAAAGTGGGACCCTTTATATGGATAATACATTGTAAGGGACCGGTAATAGTAACTGTCAGATGCAAAACATTATTGCTCTCAAGAAACTACAATGAAAATATTAACGAAATCACTGATTTTTTTCCTATGTTATAATAAGCAGGTGGATCATAAAGTGTTTTTGGGATATAATGTAACATAATAATCCATTCCATATTAATAGTCTCTTAAACTAGACAGTTCAAGCTGGTAATTGCACTACTAAAAATAGATACCAGCTACATAGTCTTTGAACTGTTCATTTGAGAATTCATCTTCTTTTCTTCTTTTTTGAATTTTATCCATTTGCGTACTACTTCATGTTCACTAACATATCCCAATATTTGTTTTTTGTTTTTGTTATGTTTTTTTTTAATTTGACTTTTGGGGATTTTGTTTGGTTTCAGGTTTCTTGTGGAGGAAGATGAAGGACCATAAGAAGACGAAAGAGACAAGGGCATAATGGTCATTTTCATAAATAATTGGTTGTGTCGTAATCAATAGTCTTTAAATAATTCCGTAAAACATCTGAAATGCATTGTTTTTGTGATTGTCATTAAGGATCCAAGAATCTATTTAGACATGAACTTTGTAACTGAATCCATTGAAGAATCAATCAGCATTCTCATTTTCATTCACGAGGGTAAAAGTTGAAATGAAATAGCTTTTACCATAGAACAAATACAGTCCTAACAAATGATCCTATGGTAGAAAGTGCAAATAAAATTCATAAATTGAGCTCTACCGGTAATATATGCAGAAACCAAAAGAATTTTTTTCGTTAAGTTTCCTCTTACCGAGTATAAGACTCACAGGAACACAGTAGAGAAGGGACTTGGACATGATGATAAAAAAAAAAAAAAACTTAATCAAAACTATGAGTAAATTAACCTAATCACTACAGATTACCTAAAAAATCATAAACCCTAGAAGTTTCTCTAGATTAATTTGAGGACGTTGCATATAAACCGAAACATACATAAGCCCTAGAAATCTATTAACATGTAAAGTACCTGACTGATGCCATCGTTGTCAAAAAGAAACTCCTGGAAGAGATAAGCGACGCCCAATCATTGCGGTCCAAAGAAGCAAGATCTGCAATACGTGTTTTGATGTTGTAACGTTTTTGGTTGCAGATTTGTAGGTCATTTGGAAATGGAAGACTATCACTAGAACAATACGTGTTCTCAACGACTTATTCTGGGAAGCCATGTGGCACCGATGAGCAACAGAACAACTCCTAGATGAAGATGATGGCAAACATGGTGGGCGGTGGAGGCGCTGCTTAAGACATCGGGTTAGGGTGTCCATCGGAAGGGTTTTTTTACCAGTGGGAAGGGCTTCTAAATGTGAGAAGCTGTTGTGAGCTCTAAGAAGTATGTGAGGTCCGGTTCAAAGCCCTAGTAACTTATTGATTATGTGAAGATGGGCCATATGCGAAGATAAAAGATGAAGACGGACCATATTTGAAGAATTTTGGGCAAAGGTATGGTTAGATTGGTTCAAAGCGTATCTATGGATATTAAAGCGGCCATGGAATTTGCAGAAGTTGTACCAGTTTTAGGGATAAATCGAACTAGTTGGGTCTTTGTTGTTGATCTTCTTTGCCGTGATTACTGACTCGTGGATAGAGAGAAAGGTTAGGGTTTCTTGATTGAGAGAAGGAGGGGGAGAAAATGAAGGTCATCAGCAAGTAGAGAGGAATGAATGAGCGGGTCCTCCAAAATTTTGGGGATTTTTGTTGATCGATCATTTCCCGCCTAAAAGGTGTGTTTCATTAAAAATTTATAAAGCGACATACTTACATGACGCACATTTTATAAAAGGCACCCTCCGTATTTCCTTTTTTTTTTTCTTTTCTAACACTAACTTTAGGGCACGCACAAATGTGTGTCTTCTATCCGTCAAATTTTGCAAAACTGACACTATTTTGTAGGGCACCCACAAATGCGCGCCCTCTATCGGCGAGTGTCATTGTTTGTGCATCATTAAAGGCCAGTTTTCTAGTAGTGTGGTAAGTGTGAAGCGAATGTCTCACAAAGTCTTTAACAAATTTATGTGTAATGTAATGAAAATCCCTTATTGTATAAATGTACAATCTTTGTATGAGTGTGTTATGTAGTGTATCATAAACCATACCTATTATAGTTTATAAAAAACAAGGGTAGTAATTGTAATGTACGTAATCTATATTCAACGTAGTTCGTTCAATTGTTTGAGTAAAATGGATGTACTTTGATTATAATAATCATGTTATCCTTTATATTTCATATATATATATATATATATATATATATATATATATATATATATATATATATATATATATATATATCAAAATCCATTTATTAAATGATGCATGTTCATATACCAAGATAAAATATCATTATTTAGTAATAACATACATTCACATACAGATATACACCTTGCTCAACATGATACAAGGTGATAATAATGTGTTAGCATTTTTCTGTTGGGAACAAGTTTGATCACTGTTATTAGAAAATTTATAAAAACTTCATAAAAGATCCAAATCAGAATCCGTAAATTCTGGGAGATTGGCTAATGAGTCTAGTTTCTTCTTAAATTTTTCTATGATTTTTAGTGACCTCCAACTTAGGTGAAAACGTCCATAAACATAGACTGGTCCAGTTTGGTCCTTGAAATGATAGCCAGTTTTGCAAAAATCACCATAAACTGTAGAAAAATCGTATGGAGATGTGCAAGTATACATTTTAAATCTATTAGAAATATCTAGTTGTGTAAGCAATCGATGATTTAGTTCTGAAAACAAAAATGCTTTAGTTGACCAAAACAGTCCGTGAATGGAGTCCAACTTTTCTGATGTAAGCTGTTAGAAATATTTAGTTGTGTTCTTGATGATTTAACTTGTATTCTCCCCCTTAAAACATAGGAAAATATGAAAATGTAGGGGTATGAACTCACCTTATGTGATTTCAGTAGATGATTGTTGAAAAATAGAAGTGATCAACTCAAGAACACTTGAAGATGCCTTGAAGATTTTCAAGAATCTAACATCAAAGTGATGGAGTTTGTGTAAGCAATCGATGATTTGAGTGGAATAAAGTGTAAAAATCACAAGGAGGATGAATTATACTTACCAAGAGAAGAATAAAGCTTGAAGATCAACCTTTGAGTCTTGA